ATGAAAAGTTTTACTAATGAATGGTCGGTTTTATATCCCTGGGTAATTATTGATTTTGTAATTATATTAGTGAGGTTTTCTGATATAAGAAAGTAGTCTAGTCGACAGAATATGCATGGTTTACCATTTGAACGCCAAGTATATTGCCTTTTATCGGGATGGTGTATTCGCCAAATATCGACTAATTTACATGAGACTATTAATGATTTTATATTTTCTCTACATTTTTTATGAGTATCATATCGTCCATTTTTTTTATCTACTTTTGTATCTATTACTGTATTAAAATCGCCACCGGCGATTATGCTTTTGTCATTATTCTGTAAAAGAAATGTTTCTAATGTTGCAAATAAACTGATATTATCATCATTAGGACCATATATATTTAATAAAGTAAATTCTCTTTCGTTTATAGTTATGTCAATTGATATTAATCTACCAATGATTAACTCATTTGTATTTACTATTTTGATGTTACTTTCTTTTTTTATAAGAATTGCTACTCCTTCCTTATTTGTTTTATTTCCACTAAAATATGATTCACCTTTCCATTCTTTTTTCCAGATTTCGGAATAATAATTATTAGAATGTGTTTCTTGCAACATATATATAGAACATGGTTGAGAGTCTAACCATTCAAAAAGTTGTTGTCTTTTTTGTTTATTTCCTAATCCTCTAACATTTAATGACGAAATTACCGTTTCCATTGAAATTGTAGAAATGAATATCTTCCAAAATGCGTTTTTAAACCATACCATAAAATATTGATACTAATTTCACTTGTCATTAAGTGGACAAAAATAAAAAAGTCGAAATTAATAGGTACAAAAAAAGTAAAGGATTTTTCAAAAAAGATGAGCATAATCAATATTTATGAATAGTTGATAGGTATCAATGCTTTCACATTCATTCACGCTACTTACACAACTCACTTCTACATAATGAATAAAATTTACATGTTTAACTTTGATGATTATACATAACAAAGCTCAGACACTCTCTGATGACCAATCTTAACACTATAAAATATGTATTTATAAAGTCAATCTTATAAGATATAAACTCCCAATTTATACTATTTGATAAGTAAAACATATACATTTAAATACTTTCACATATACATACTTATCAATCATCATGTATAGTAACAATAGTAACATCGGTTTCAATTATCAATCAGGTTATACAAAAAACACAACAATTAATGTACTGTATACTAGATGGTCTACATGTTGCCTGTATATACAGTCATGTCGATCACACAAAAACTCAGATAATCTTGTATTACCAATCTTAATACATTTCTGTAAAACATGTATCTATAAGATCAATACTATGTGACAGGTAAAAACATAAACATTCAAATTACTTATACCAATACATTTTTATCAATCACAATGTATATTAATTATAGGAATATCGGTTTCAATTTATCAATCAGTTAATACAAAAACAAAAACAAAAAACACTATACTGTATACTATGTGGATAGCATATTGCTTGTGTATACAAATATGTCGATCATAATCGTTATCTATTTTATTTGTTAATCGCTTTGCGATACACAAACTACTTTATCTATACATGTTTACTTTAATATGTACACTGTAGAAGTATAGTCTACCTATCTCACGCGGTATATGCTTATTATTATCATGTTTATATCGTGTAAGAGTTTTAAAAAAAATATAATGTCATTAAATGTGAAAAACAAATTTTACATAGTAAAATTAGATTAAAAAGTTAAATAGATCTCAGTTAAGTCAAATCTCATTCATGATTATTGTAGAAAGCGTCATGTAAAACATTAGTAGTTTCAGTTAAGTTTATTATAAAAAAAAAACGTCATGTAGGCATATACTCTTATTATTATTCAAAAATATACTTAAAAAGTTGCATATAACTGTACGATATTCGCGCAAAATATGACCATGCGCAATATTAAATCGCATTTCGATACAGTTCACTTCAAAAATTGTTTCGAACCAAAAATATTTTTTTGGGTCTCAATAATCTCATATATTGTATCATAAATGCTTTTATGTAAATCTTCTCAAATTTTCAAACAGTTATACACCTATTATAGTCATCGTCAATAAGATTTTGAAAAAAAAACAGTATCATAAATGCTTTTATGTAAATCTTCTCAAATTTTCAAACAGTTATACACCTATTTTAAACATCGTCAATAAGATTCTGAAAATAAACAATGAGTATTAAACATGAGTATTAAACCTCGCACACGCACGCACACACACACACACACACACACACACGCACACGCACGCGCACGCGCACACACATGCACACGTATACAAAAATATTATTTAATATATCAAAATAGAGTCTTCCACAAGAGAAAAATGTAAAAATATATTTTGTGGAGAAAAGTGACGCACATTTAATATAAAACTATGCTACGGCGTTCCATGGCTTTAAATAAGTATATGGCAAGATTGGTATTTATTTGTTTTTCGTCGCTGGAAAGAAGTTCAACAAACTTTGGAATATTCGGTCGTTTTCGAAAATATTGTTTTATATATCTAATTCTTAAATCTTTATATAATTCGCATTCTAAAAGAAAATGAAATTCGTCATCTAGTGTGTTACATACATGTAAGATACATTTGCGTTCATTTCTTGGAATCGGATGCGGTTTATGCCTTCTGCCGGTTTCTATATACAATCTGTGTGAGGATAAACGAAATCTTGTTAAAGCAGCTCGGTATTTACTAATATTGATTTGTTCTATGTATTTCGAAAAACCGAAAGTAGCGAAAAGTTTATATGTGTCGGCCCTGGGTGACGCTTCAACTTCAGACATCCAGGTTTGAATAAAATTATCTTCAAGTCTTCGCTTGACTTCTGCTATAAAAATGTTTTCATTTCCTATTTCTTGAAATATTCATGCATAATTTAAGCCAAAAATTTTTAAGAATTGTTCTTACAGACGTTGCCCAATTAGTAATTTCATTGTTTCGTTCAATATCTTCAAGCATCAAATTGTATGTTTGTTTAATCAGTTTCACGTTATCGCATTTAATTATCTTTAACCAGAATTTTAAAACTTGTATTATTCTTTGTTGTTTTAAAGGCATTCTACCTAAATCGCCATATACAAAATTAGTCTGGGTTTGTTATTTTACCCCTACAATATTTTTCAAAAAATGTGTATGTATATTTTCTATTTTATCAACTTTATTCATGCCCCATATTTCACATCCATAACATAAAATAGGTTTAATTAACTTGTCAAACAATTCAATTTTATGTTTTATATCTATATAAGTAAATTTCTGTAAGTATTGTTTCATTTTGAAAATAGCTTTTAATGCTTGACCTGACAATGCATCATATGTGTGTTTGAAAGACCCCCCCACACACACACACAAGAAAAAACTATACCAAGATATGTAAATTTATTCACTATTTCAATTTCAGACCCATTATACATAACCCTAATATTTCTTGGTAATCGTCCACCCTTTCTGAAAATCATGACTTTTGTTTTATTAATATTTACGGTAAGTTTCCAACGTTCACAATAATCTTTTAAAATATCCATGCCTTTTTGTAAATCATCTAAACTTTCGGCTATTATCACAATATCGTCTGCGTATAAAAGAAGAAAAAGTTTTAAAAAACCGGTATTTATGCCTTTAAATCCTTCACGTAAAAGTGTATCTTCAATATCGTTTACATAAATTGAAAAAAGAAAGGGAGATAAGCAATCACCTTGACGGACACCCAAAGAACATAAAAAGCTTTCACTCATATTAACATGTATTAGATAATTGACCTGACCAACTCAGGTATTGTGCTTATCAGAATGATTTATGGTCAGAGCTGCATCAGTACTAAGGGTGTAGTACTTAAGTACCAGTACCAGTACTTGGCAAATTATACAGTACCATTACCAGTACCAGTACTAGATTTTAGCTCAGTACTGCAGTACCAGTACTTTTTTTGGTGAAGTAATTAAGTATCAGTACCATTACTTTTGTATATTTATCAAAGTTTGAATAAATACTGTGTCAAACAAATAATAGCAAATATTATTCAGCAAAGAAATAAAATCTTTATTTACTTAAAAGCTGCATGCCTCCAGATGACCCAAGATATTTCAAGAAAATTAAACTTGGAAATAAATTACTAAAACTTTGAGAAAAGTAAACAAATTAAAGATTCAAGTGATAAATTATATTTTATGTGCAATTAATGACTGTATTTTGTAGTATTTATCACCATATTTCTACTGCGTTACTAACGCAGTGGGGGCTATTTATGCATGTTTTGACCTTTTTTTGGTAATGTTCGTGGATTTTTAAGTGCCGATTGTAATGTGTCAAGTACTTTCTTTGTTCATTTAACAATATTTTACCTTTAAATACATTTTCAAAATTTTCATGAAAATTAGGATGAATCTGGGGGCTTTAAAGTTAACATAATATATTTACAACTTTATAGTTTTAACATACTTTTTACAAACAATATTTACAACATATATTCATGTCATAACTAATTGTTTAGTAACCAGTCAACTGTATAAATGCAATGCAAACATCTTTCATGTAAAACACAACAGTCTTTTGCTGCCTTTCACACCTTCACACCTCTGTTCAATTTAAACCAAAGTAAATTACAACTTTTTATGGTGCTAACAATATCACTTTTTTCACTTGAAATGGGATTGTTTAGAATAGAAGAAGTTAATTAGTGTTTATTTTGCTCATTTACTAGTAAATACAAAGTAATAAAAGATTTTAATAAGGATATTTTAGGGTAAAGAGTTATTGAGTCTGTTTATCTTAATTTAATTTTTACTTAAAGTCTTTGGTGCTTTTTATGATGAATACTATGTTAACATTTGAAGGAATATTGCAGCAAATTATCTTTAGATTTGATAACTTACTTTTTCACAAAAATAAAATATAGTTAATGTATTTTACAGCTTTATTTTATGAGAAAAAATTGATGTTATTTTTAATTTTTATCAAAACCAAAAGTACTGGGTAATGCAGTAGCAGTACCACTTTTTAAGACAGTAATGCAGTACCAGTACCAGTAGTAGCAAACTTTTGTAAGAGTAATTCAGTATCAGTACCAGTACTTGCAAAATCGCTGCAGTACGTACTGCAGTACCAGTACCAGTACCAGTAATGCAGCTCTGTTTATGGTAACATGAAAGTGCAATTAACATCTACAACAAATTAGTAGCACTTGTATACACTACTGATAAAATGAAGACTCTGTTTTTAATCCAAAGTAAAAGTACTCTCCATAATTAATAAACTAAAAAAACTGTCACACTATCAAGCATGCATTTTGGGTGAAAAGGATATCAAAATACTCCCATCTCCTATGCCATTTACCAATTTTTTTTCCAAAGACTTTGACCAGATAACCTAGTTTTTGACACATATAACCTTCATTTACACTTGATAATAATAATAATAATAATAATAATAATAATATTAATAATAATACAAGAACCGGTTGAACGGCGTGATGTTCCCCGAATCGGTTTTTGACACAGAAAAACATACCAATTTTATTTTCAGAGTTATCCAGGTCATAGTTCAAAGTTTGATTATTCCAAACTAAGACAAGGAAGGCATAGTAACTGTTCTTTGCGCTGTACTTTTACTCAATAAGATCTATCTACCGACTTACTTTCTTGTTGATATTGTTTGTAGTTTTACAGTCAAGTTTTAAAGTGCAAAGTTAAAAAATGAATAAAGGGCAATTACTCCAAAATCAGACAAGGCAGAGTTATGGTTCTTCTGCACTAACAAGATCTATCTGCTTACTAAGTGTCTTGTTAATATCTATTATATTTTTGCGGCTATTTTCTTAACAATGTTCAAAGTGTAAAAATGAACAAAGGGCAAAGTTTCATGTTGATATCTCTTATAGGTCCGAACAAAGTTCAAGTGTAAAAATGAACAAATGGCAATTTTTCAAAAATTAGACAAGGCAGTGTTACAGTTCTTGTGCACTGCACATCTACCCAATGAGATCTATCTACCTACAAAGTTTTATGTCGATACCCTTTTGTTGTTTCAGAATTATGTCCCGGACAAGAAAAGCGGACGGACGGACGAACAAAGCGGCGACTTCTCATTCTCCTAGCTGATTCTCCTAGGGAACATAAAATATATAGAAATAATGAATCCCTAAAGAACGCACATAACGCTGTAAAAAAATGCACATAACATTGTAAAATTCGGAATTTTGAAACATCTGCAGATGTGTTCATACAGCCGTTATAATAACAAAAATAGTATTTAAAGCTGCACGCCTCCAGATAAGCCAAACTATTTAAAGGAATTCATTCTTAGGATAACGTATTAAGATCTTAAGCAAAGTAAAAAGATTCAATATATAACTAATCATTTACATAATATGTGCGATTAATGACTGATTTGGAAGTATCAATCACTATAATTCTACTGCGTTACTAACGCAGTAAGAAATATTTATGTATATGTTGACTTCTTTTTTCGTAATTTACGTGGATTATAAGTGCCGTTTGCAGTGTGTAAATTACTTTCTTGTTTACTTCACAATATATTACTTTTAAATACATTTTTATTTTTTTGAAAATTAGCATGAATCTGGAGGCATGCTGCTTTAAGGTAGTAAAGCCCGCGTTGTAGAGTATTCAAATAGGCTAGATGCATTAAAACTGAGGGGCGTGGATTCAACCACAGAAGGGGCAACTTTCTTTTTACCATTTTTACATATCTCTCAGATCTCAGATCTCTTATGGAAAGTAAAAAGTGTTTAATTTTACTTGTATATTAATATTTAGGGTATTTCTTTGCTAAATAATGCATGATTTAATAGCAAATTTTGCATGTGTGATTTGTCACCTGAATGCTATTATTTGTTTCCAAACAATGATCAATAGTAAAACATTTTTCATAATGATGGTATTTTTCATGAGTTTCCTCATTTTTGAAAAAGCGCCCTTCAAATAGCAAAGTTTTAGTTCAGAAAAATGTCTATAACTCATAAGCCATACGATAAATTTTGTTTAAAGTTTACATGCATGTGTCCTTTAAGGCAAATACATGTCTTTTGTTGAAAATTGTACAGTCTTGTGTGCCCATTAGGTGTATTCTACCTTAATACTTTATTTAACCACGCCCGGCAAACTGTCACTCCACTTCAAAATTGTGGTGTACGGTCAAACGACGAGCGAACGCCATTTCCGAGATAGGGCAGAAGGCCGATTTAAAAGGCTAATCGTAAGGTTTGTTTATGTTTTTGTCTTGTAATTCATTTAAGTTATATCTTTTTTAAAAAATCGACCAAAGTAGTTCCGTGTAGGATTGTTTTAGGCGTCAAATGATCTCTTAGGCCCTAGTATCGGCTCAAGCGGTATCTGCCACACTAACATGTTTGAATCAATAATTTCAAAAACAAGATAAGAACAAACACTGACATGTAATACTGGGTAATTTAAAGTATTGGACTACTGTCATACCAGATAAATGTACATTGCATAATCGAATGTTAAAACAAGTGTTATACCTTTTTCTAGATGTTTATAAACGTTTTTTTTTTACCCGTTACGTATATTCTGTAACAAATGTTTAGTAAATTTGGTAACAAATCTCCCGCCGGGGACTCTGCTCCAGTTCCTTTAGACATAAATGCCACCTACGGTGTTGGCCACCTAAATTGTAACCATAAATAAAATTATAATTTTTCCATTTATAATACTCAACTGGGTAATGGTAGTCATGACGCTCAATGTTATTGCGTTTATGGTCACTTGACCATCTGCGTTGGATCTGATAGCTGCATTGTTCGTTTAATGAATTTACATTTTCCAGAACAAACATAGCCTGCTTATGATTATCGTCGTCATCTTCGGGCTCATTGCGGCTACAAAACCGGTTAGCATGCATAACGATTATATTACAATTCTCATTACCAGCGGTTGCAACAAAAACACTGCACCCAGAAAGCAAGGCTGTAACAAATAGAGAGCTTCTCTGTTGTACAAATGGCAAAAACGTATATGATATGGAGTTGCGTTCATCTATAGGAAGCAGAACAGCTGTAGCATGCGTGCCGCGTAAAATGTTTACCAGATGTCGCCATGTTGATTGTGGAACTACTTGTATTGTATACATTCCATGCAGTTCTCCATCAACTAAAACACATTCTACAGGTTCTCAGCAATCAAGAATCCACGTTTTATCGGTTGCTTTGTCGAAATGTCCTTTTCTGTGAACAAATCTTTGCATTTCCTTCCGACAACCATTTGCGTGGTTGATGTTGTCACCTTGGAAATTAAATGTATTTGTTTGACGAAGTAGCTGCAAAAAGTTGTTGACTACATTAGAGTTGTCACCTTGTAAAAGGGCCCGTGAATCTGAAAGAACCCACAGCAAGAAATAATTTGCATTATTAATAAACATCTTTAATAGCAAAATCAGACGTAATTTTCAGAGCATAATCATTCTATCTAAAACGCAAGTATGTGCACTATAAATTAAAATGCATATATTTAAATCATGTTTACTTAACTTTGATTTCTGACGTATTGGGACTTAAAACAATATTTGTTCGGGATAGCATTCTTAATGTTGATTTTCTAGTTTATTTTCAGTATACCTTTTTACATTACTTTTCATATTTTTCCGTTTTAGGTGCAGTTGTTGATCGTTGTTAGATTTCATTTGATTTTTTTTATTTTTTTTTTTTTTTTTTGGGGGGGGGGGGGGTGAACTACGTCGGAGCTCCTTTGGACACTTACTCCACCTTACCTTCCCCCAAACCCCAACAAAATGTGTCTTGACTTACTTTAAGACATCTGAAATGAAAAAAGATATTCTAGCTTTTCATTCAAAATTTGTTTTGGTGCCAGCGGACAAGGCGGCTAATAATATTATAATTGTTTGACGAATCCATTACATTAACGTTTTGCATAAGGAACTAAATAGCACTAATGCGTATTCTAAAACCTCTGCTTCCGAAAAAGACATTGTAAACAATCATATTACTAATATTTCCAATCTTAAAGTCCAAATTAATGAAAAAGAACTCAAACTTCCTATTATGTATTGGATTCCTAAATTACATAAAAAACCTTACAAAGCCAGATTTATTGCTAACTCTACATCTTGCACTACAAGTAAACTTTCTATTTTATTGACGTCTTGTTTGACTGCCATTAAAACACATGTAATTAGATATTGTGATAAAGTCTATGAAAACACAGGCAAACATCTCTTTTGGTCAATTAAAAATTCTGGTGAAATCTTGGATAAATTCAAAATTAATAACTTTCAAGCTTCAACTGTCAGTACATACGATTTTTCTACACTTTATACAACTTTGCCACATAAATTAATCAATGATAAACTAATTTCCCTAATTCAGAAAACTTTTGCACGGGAAAAAGTTACCTTTCTAGCATGTAATTCTAACAAAGCTTTTTTTACTAACGGTATTGTTAAACATTATACTATGTGGACCTGTGACGAAGTTTGTAGAGCACTCTCTTTTCTTTTAGACAACATTTATGTCAGGTTTGGTAATACCCTATTTAAACAGATCATAGGAATTCCTATGGGTACTAATTGTGCACCCCTGGTCGCCGATTTGTTTTTGTACTGCTATGAAAGAGACTTTATGTTGAGTCTCTCTGAAGAGAAACAACAAGATGTTATAGTCGCATTTAATAATACTTCCAGATACCTTGATGATATTTTTAATTTAGATAATCCTTATTTTGATCAAATGGTGTCTGACATTTATCCGCATGAACTACAACTTAATAAAACGAACTCTTGAAATTTTATAGTACATCATTTTTGGATCTTCATATTACTATCAATAACAATTCTATTCACACGAAAATTTATGATAAAAGAGATGACTTTGACTTTTGTATAGTTAATTATCCACATTTGGATGGAGACGTACCCCATGCAACATCCTACGGGGTTTATGTTTCTCAGTTAATTAGATTCGCTAGAGCTTGTAACAACGTAAAGGATTTCAACGAGCGGAATAGTTTTATTACCAACAAGCTTCTAAAACAGGGCTACCGCTATCATAAATTACGGAAATATTTTACTAAATTTTACAATCGTAACTTTGATTTAATTTCTAAATTTAATAGTGATTTAAAAACTCTTCTGCGACAAGGGATTAGCCAGCCTGGTTTTTATGGCGATGTGGTTTACAAACTTCGTAAGATTTTGGGTCATGGTAATTTTTCTGCTGTTTTTACTAAAATCATTAAACGTTTTATTAAAAGAGGTTATGACCCTACTATTTTAAGACATACTGCATGTTTAGTGTTCAACCCTTTTACAGTTGGACACTACGCTTTCCTCTTTTGATTGCATCTGACGGACCAAGTGGGAGACTCTATGATGGATAGTTCGTAAAGCCCTTTGGGACTGAATTGTCTTAATGTTCGTCTTCTGCCTTGCATCGTCGGGCCCTTGTAGGTGATTTTCTTGTTGCTCTGTCTTCCTTTAGGACATTGAGTACTTTTGTTATGGTCATTGGGTTTACCTTTATATGTTTCTACATGATCATTTTAGTGTTTTACTTATTTAACCTTTTGTAACCATGACAACTGTTAGAATTTCACTTGGCGGGGATTCATTTTATTTACACTGTCTCGTTTATAGGAACATGGTTGGGCTAAGAGCGAGGTTTGGTGCACCATTAACCGGTTTAAACTCCCCAGCAGTCATTATTATGCTGCTGACCGTTCCAAGGCGGCGCCCCACTGTGTTCCTCAGATGTATGTCTATGTTGTTTCATACTGTTTTGGTGACACTTTTGCTTGTGTCCCTTGTTGTTTTCTCGTCTACGGTAAGTATCTTCCCCATTCTAGTTTTTGTTTCTTTGATTAACCCCCCCCCCCCTTCCCCCGGTCTCCTGTCCCCTTCCCCTTTGTGGGCCTATTATTATTTTCTTTGAATTCCTAATCAGTTACAAATTATTTATCATTTAATGATTAACGTGTCGTTGCCCTGTCCTTTTTATGTTTGGGGTCCGGCTCCTTGCCATTGGTTCTTGTTGCTGGGTCATATGGGGGTTGCGTTCATTGAACGCCGCCTTTCCTTGATGATCTTGTTTTTCATATTTTTTGCGTCAAATATACATTTAAAAGAAAGTTCCTAAGATGTATTTACCTCTATTAGTTGCACAAATGGATCCTCTAGTAACTGATAGAATTCCACTGAGTAGAATTAATAGACAACCTAAAATGAAAACACAAAAAGAATATTTAAAAGAAGGTCTAAGAAGATCATGATGACCTTAGATCGTTCATCCGAATTCAAAATTCATTTTAAAGATTATGTGATAAGTTTATTATTGAAAATAAGTCAACAGGTCATATGAGGGCGAGCAATTTTTAAACTTGATTCACATATTAAGTAAAATAAAAACGCGTTTTATTTTATTATTATAGGATAACTTAGTGGCCTCTACATCCGGGCGGATCATTTTGATAACCAAGTCATGATTTATTTCGCTGTGGTAAAGCTCACATGTCTGACCTCCTAGCAAAATAGTTTCAGAGGATTTTTAAATGCAAATCAATGTATCAAAAGTGACCTTTTAAAAAACTTTGTCAACTGTTAGAACCCTAAATTCGGCCCAATTTTAATTCGGATGCATGCTTTTATAAATTCACTTTGATATTACTTGTCACATATCTTAATATAGGAATATAGTTTCTGAAAAGGATACTTAATTGTAAGTTTCAACAAGGCAATGCAACATAAATTAACCAAGGGCTATGGGAATTTGTAGACCTACAAAAAGGTTTTAAAAGTCTAGTAAACTATTTAACAACGTGAACAAAATAAAATATGTATTGTAGACTTTGGAAACTTTTTCATATCAATTGGAGGTTTCAAGCAAATATTTAAGGTCAGTATTACTTTATTCAAGTAGGAAAGTTGACGTATTATTACCATTCTCGCAGTTAATTGCCAGAAATAGTTTGCATGGTTGCAGAACTTAACTTAATCTAGATTATTTTAATTTGAGTGAAGATCCTATATTCAAGTGCTCCAAACATATACACTGTATAAAATAAGGGTGTCACGCGACCTCTAGAAGGTAACATTCAAAAACTTCAAAAGTATAGTATTTCATTAACAGATATAGTTTCAATGCATGCACTCCTTATAGAATGTTAAAAGTGACGAAAAGGTGAAATAATATTAAACAAAAACTATAAAAATAATTAATAGTACGTTTCTACACACCAGAGTAGTTATTTTACATCTAAAACTGTTATAAAACAATTTAATTATTTCATTAACCCATTACTTCATATAAACGTCTTTTCACCAGAGCCCCTTTTTAAGGCCTTAAATAGTGCAAAATGCCCTATTTAGAACACAAACAGTTATTTTCGTTTGAGAAATGGTGTTTAAAAAGTGATCACATTTACGGTGCCAACCCCTATCAAAAACATACATTAAAGGGGTGCTTGAAGAGGGATGTGCCCCCCTCTGTTAGGGGGTTTAAAGGGCGTCGGAAGAATTCCTCATCTCCAAGAAAATTTCGGACATGTGAGAGGCTAAATTGGTCTCCGGTCGACCTTAAGGTAACGTGTAACCAACGCTGAAAAGCCTTTTACTCTATAGCCTCAATCTATTGAGCAGTTGCTGCATTTTGAAATCAAATTTGATGGAATAATCAACGCAAAAAAGTGATCATTGGCAATTTGGAGATGCCCCTCATTGCCATGGTGACGGGAAATTTAAGATTGAGTATGCCGTAACAAAGGTTATGGTCCAGTCAACATTTGTGCCAAGTTTGAACAATATTGAAGCCTTTTTTATAGTTTCATAGCAATTTGAACTTATAACTGAAGGATTTTCAATGAAAATAGCCATTTCTCTTAAAATGCTAGTTAGGCTAATAAATGAAATTATAAGGGTAGACATAATTGCAAAATAATTTCTGTTGACACTGTACGAAAGCACGCACTGTAATAAGTACTTTGAAAACAAAAGTCCAAAAAAAATCCATCAAGCAATAAATGTGTAAATGCATTTTAAATAATGTTGATTTTAAACAATTTAACAATGGGCCATAAATTACACCATGCACGAAATACTTCCTGATATATATTTTGGTTGGGTGGCGGCGCCGAAAAAGTGGTCACTTTTTTAAGCAACATTTCTCAAACAAAAGAAAGTGTTAGGGGCCTAAATAAGGCATTTTTCACCATTTAACACAACAGAAAGGGGGAGGGGTGAAAAAGGCGTTAAAAGGCGTGTATATCGCGTAATGGGTTAAAGTCATACAGATCATTTGAAAGCATATTTTCCTTGATTATATCTCACGTTAAGTTATGGTGAAACAAGAAAAATAACAAAGAAAAAAACTAAACTTGTTACAAAAGGAAATAAAACACGTCTTTTTTTTACAAGAGAGACAGCTGGCTATGTTTGTTTTTCTAAAAGCAAATAACTTTTTAACTATTTAAAACAGTGTACACGTTATACTTCGTGCTATTTCTCTTACATTCAATATATGTACTTGATGTTATTTTCATAACTATAGGTAAAGACAATAGTAGTACAATTAGCTTAAATATACCCTAAATCCTTAGTTATAGCACATAGCTATATTTGATATATACGTCTCTGGCGATCCTTCTGCCAGGAACCGGCATTCGGCGTACACTCGAGGTACGCCCCAGGAATAGGATACATTTGAAAACCACATTGCTTAATCAAAATATCATTTGCAACTGCTGCTACTATTTTGTTAATGTATAAAAGATTTTGAAGGCAGAATGAAAGTTGTCCTGAGGTTTAATTTTAGTTTGATTACAAACTTTTATAGATCTTATTGATGACTTTTAAATACCGAATAAATTAATAAAATCGCTAAAGATAGGATGTTCTTGTAATATAATGATAATTAATCAACTGGTTTGGTAACTTGAAATAGTCCAGTGAGATTTGACCAATGTTTTCTTGCAATTATCGTTGCCACGACTCAAGGAAAAGCAAAATGCATGTAAATGCAATATGGTACCTATTTAAAATGAGTAAGATAATCGAAAATAAATAAAAGATTACGACAGTGCAGAATACAAATAGTTAAACATTTTTGGGTAATTTCCATGCTTGCTCCTGCGACGTCATCATACGTCACTGGTCTATTTTTAGAAATGCCCACGACTATTGGTAAATAAAGGGTGAAATTGTGGTTAACGTCTTTATAGAAGAACAATTGTATTATCAGGTATGTAAACATTTTGCTGGCATATTATTTAATACGTAAAATCATTAACAAAATATTTCCAAGTTGTTTTATAAACACCTAATGTTTTTTTTTGTTCTTTACACTTTTCAATTTACAGTAGTCTACATTTTAAAGTAAACAGAATGAAATTCGTTACATTCAAGTTGTCATTGTACCATTAGAACGTTATAGACACAACCGTATTCACGAAACATGATTTAAAAAATATATATAGGCAGTCATTTTGGATGCATTATGATGGAGGAAAAAATCTACAGAAGCAAATTCGGGACAACAAATCAATTACTTGTTGTTAAAATCATCTTTTATTTCTCGTCAAGATTAGTTAATAATATATAAAAAAAAATGCAAGTAAAATGTCTAACAATCAATATTTTTTTTCAGATAATAGATGAAAGATTGTGTTCCCTTTTGTTAAATGGGTTCAAAAGATGTTTAAGCTTTCCGTAAAACAGGAACATATTTTTTCATGAATAATTTCTATATAAAATGATGATAGCATATGGGTCATATATTTTTGTGTCACCAATACACGGAAGCAAATCAAGTTTGTAATTGTATTATTATATTACTCTAATGAGATTATTTAATTTAGATTATTTAATTTAGTCTGACATTAATATTTTCGTATGACAGTATTATGAAACTTGTCAGCTCTTTCCGGTGTTATATTTCTTTAGGTTTTGATAATTTCTTGCTGGTCTTTTATTTTCTTGTTTTCTTTGTGATCTCACGAGATTTTGGCGGGAACTGTTCGTTCAGGTTTTTAGAAGAGTTTGCATGGTTGATGTAGAGAACATTCTGTTTATTTGCATTTGGTTGAACTATCCAAGCATTCGTGAGAAGTATTTGAGGTAATTTTGTGATGACTGAAATGATTATTTATTATTTGGTTTTTTTGCAATGTTTGTATTTTGAATGTTCCAAAATGGCGGTCATTTACTTTGTCTTTAAATTCTATATTTTTATAACCAGCATGTATTATATGTTTTAATCTTGTTCACAGTTAACCATCACGTGAGAGAAATGTACAGGATGTATGTGAGGTGAACTGTTTGTTATACATTATTGTGGAATTGGCTTAAGATCTCTTAGATCTGTAAGTATAAGAGTAAGTTGGTATTTATACCTGTTGTAATAATGTAAATATTATACATGTAATGTTTAACTGATTAAGACTTAAGAGTACAAATGTTTTAATCATTTAGAGATCTTAATGTCTATATAAATATAATGTTTATTTAATGCTATATTGATTGATTGTATATATTATATGTGCAAACATTGTTTTGTTATTGTCATTTCAGTGCCTTGACTTCAACAGAGTATTAAAGATGCTATTGAATTGAGTTGATTGTACATGTATGTAGATTGGAATAAATTCATTACCACACCTACCCTGTGTTATAACACCATGTGTTACAACTGCATTTTTTTATTATAAATATGAAAGTTTAATGCCTTGGCAAAGTTGGAATCCATATTGTTTCGGATTAGATATTTCAGATGAAAGGATATGTACGACTATGTGACAAGAGTTGAACTAATTCGTAATCTACACCTAACCAAGACGATATGTTTTCTGAAAAGGTTGGTATTTTAGATGACTTTTTTAGAAATGCACAAAAGCACATATGTATTTTAAAAGGAAAATAATTGTTTAATTTGTCATATCAGAATATTGTCATTGCTGTGCTAATCGAAATGTCTCTTTTATTAAAAATAGTGATAAATTTTACAGATTTGTTCGTCTGAAATATAAAGATATCAATATCATATAATTAGGTTTCGGTTGTTAAAAAATACTTAAAAAAATAGTACATTTCTAGTCAAAACTAACAAGTAACATTGAAATAATTTAAAAATAGAATGTACAATCATCTTTATTGTTTCTCATTTCAGATAGAAGTTTGCGCACGTGTCTGTGAGGAGGGCTGCAATGAATTTTAATATATTGTTCAAA